TCGGTTATAGATTGTGAGCACGATGCGGCGTGCATTGGTCTAACAAGGAGGCGTGAGAGTTCATAGGCGAACGCGATGACCTCGGCACCCTATTCACGCGGAAAGAACCCGTGTCTGCGAGTTGTGTTTGTGTGTGTGGGGGGGGGGGGGGGGGCACGAAAAGTGGGAGAGAGGCGCATATGAATTCAGGACGATCCGTCATAACACACCGGGTGTCCGCATGGTGTCATTAAAAATGCAGCCGGAACATCCGAATAATGCATTAACGGCACCGAACTTTATTCGCACGCTTGCAGTCACGTTTCCCGTCGGCGTCGTTTGGTTGAACGCGAAGGGCGATTTACGCTAAGTGAGGCTGCGTTTGTTTCTTATGCGAGAGTTGTGCATTGCGCGAGCCAGACGACGAGCTTGTACGACGGCGCCCGCACTGGGGCTAATTTATTAGGGTGCGAATTTACATTTATTTTTCAAATTACAACACAAATTGGCGGAGTCAGCGAGCGTATGGAGTGGTGAGCGCAGTGAGCGATTTGAGTGGTGAGACATTTATTTCTTCAAATTACAACACAAATTGGCGGAGTCAGCGAGCGTATGGAGTGGTGAGCGCAGTGAGCGATTTGAGTGGTGAGCGTAGAGAGTGAGTGGAGTGGTGAGTGTAGGGAGTGAGTGGATCGGCGAGTGAGTAAGCGAGCGGGTGGGCGATTGAGTGAGCAGCCACATAAATTCAGAAATACCACAAGGGGTGACACACACCCCGCCATGGTGCCCCTTTGTTGTCATAAATGTAGACTTTATTTTTAATTATACAAAAATTTAAATCATGTATTTAAATAAAATGACTAACGCGAGCATGAAACTCGGCGCAGAGCGATGGTGGTGAGTCGACCCTCGAAGAAACATGCATTGGCGAAGCTATAGTTTCGAAGTGTAATCCACAGATGGGCTCAGGTATACTTCTATTAAATATGTCGTTCGGGTTAAACAATAAGGTGCAAATGCTGACACATTAGGGTATAGCTCACGCTTCTTTGTTTGTTCCCTGGAAGCACTGGCACATAGTACACACTCTGGGGAATCGGCTTGGAAAGCTTGTATAGTAGCCTATGCGTGATACACTGATTGTGAGCCTATTATTAAAAGACCGCCAAACAGAAGTCTTCTTCCTCTTGTTCTACGAGAACCTTGGGGATGTTACTAACGCAGAATAAACTACACGATGATGAAACTACATATAGCAAAACCAAATGTAGCTCATCGACCTACAGGCTACAGTACATATAGCAAATGGAATATAATGAAAAAACTTTATTTCAGTCCTGCAGGAGGCGCGTAGCGGGCGTCTCCCACGTGGGGACCGACACGGAGAACCTGGCAGCCAGCCGCTTCGTGGGCCTGCTGGACGGGCCATCGCTGGTCGGCGAGAAATGAGCTCCTGAGGCACCTCTCCCACTTGTTTGAGGAAGAGTCGGGAGGAGTTGTTCCACAGCAAAGCCAACTGCATTTTAAGCACACGCTCCCAAGAAAGTTAAGGTTTCTTCCTCTTGTTCTTCGAGCGCATTCGGGATTATATTAACGCAGGCTAGACTTCGCATAACACAGACAACTATGGCATGTTGGGCACACATTCTCGCCGTAGAGAAGTCTCTTGTCCTTCCAGTGCATTGAGGATAATGTTAACGCAGACTCAACTACATATCGCATAGCATTGAGCGCACACTCGCGCCAAAGAGAAGTATTCTTAGTCCTGCTCTTCAAGCGCCTTTTGAAAGTGCATGATATTAATGCAGGACTCGACTCAGCGCGTTCTTCTTATTATTATTTATTTATTTATTTATTTATTCAAAATACCTTACAGGCCCAACAGGGCATTGCGTAAGGTGAGCATAAAAGAAATACATACACGAATTGGTACAATTTACATTATTATTATTATTATTATTATTATTATTATTATTATTATTATTATTATTATTATTATTATTATTATTATTATTATTATTATTATTATTATTATTATTATTATTATCATTATCATTATTAACGAAATCGAGCAGAACATGTCGAACAAGCCAACGAATTCTTTCACAGCGCTAAACTCGGTATGGCAGTTACACACAAGGCCGCGTAGAACAATTTTCGCGCCAGCGAATGGATACGGTCGGTGCCAAAGGACAAGAGGTCAGGCAGAGTAAGTCCGAAGCCCGCCGCTGGAGCACGGGGGAATCAGCGAAGCCATACGGCCCACAAACCGTTGCCAAAACATCCGCGCGGTCGCGGATCGCCGCGCGCACACGTGACAGCTTCGGCTTTACGGCCTTCCATCGCGATTTGCCGCCGGCCTTCTGCTGCGGCAATGCGGGTTGGTATAGCACGGGTATACATCGCGTTGCACACAATGGCGTATGCGGTAACAAAACAGCGTGCATGTAAGCACTGGAGCACGCTGACGAGACGGGAGAGGATAGCGACGCTTGTGTACTTTGCAAAGGCGGCCTTGACTGCAGCGAGGATGAGACAATGCACGGCCCGCACGCGGGTTCGTTCGCTAAAAGGAATACCTTGGTGTGCCGTTGCGGTGATGATTCCCCCCGCATGCGTTGATGCAGGCGTCCCAGACGAGCTACGCAACGAAACACATACACTTTGTCGCTGTCATCGACTGTGTTGTAAGAGCAATTTCAATTTGGGCTCAATAGAAACAAACGGGACAATGTAACAGGTATACGGCGTGTGGGCGACCACAAAAGGAAAAAAAAAAAACGTTTGTGACGTAGTGATTAGCGAGCTAGACTCATTTCTATGGGCCGAAAAATCGATGGAAGTAACTTCCTCAATTTCATTGAGCTGCGCACGTACCTTTTTGTCACCATTAACGGCAATTCTGTGACGGAAATTACGTGCGACAATCTTTGGTGTACTCCGACATGGAACGTCTTCGTTTTAAAAGAGACAGAAAACGAAACGTTTCTGAAGGCAACATTTCATTGTACATTGAGCTGCGCACGTACCCTTTTGCCATCATTGACGTCACTTCCGTGACGAAAATTACGTGCGGCAATTCTTGGTGCACTCCGGCATAGAAAGTCTTCGTTTTAAAAGAGAGACAGAAAACGAAACGTTTCTGAACTGAAGACAACATTTCATTCTACACTAGAACTTTGCAAAAAGAAAAGAAAACATAAGTATAGTGACGCATAGCATGCGTCACCGTTGGGTCTCCTATAAAGAACTTTGTAAGAGGTGCAAACATTGCAGTTTAACCAGGAATATTCCTAGCTTTGTCACCAATTTCATCATGCATATTGCAAAGTTTTGTAACAGCGGAATTTCGATCTAATCACAAACGCCGTATACTATAGCGTTTCTCTGATTCTGTCAGGAACACAAATGATGGCGAATTGAATAACATGGCAAAATTTGACACATCATCACCGCGACTTTGATATAATAGTCATAACAGTTGTATAAGATCAGGGACACGCCGTCGAAAAGTAATCGGCCTTGCAACATGCCTGACACGTTGATAGAAATACAAACTAAACCACGATTGAAATTCGAATTAACCCACGAATCGGATATCATCGTTCGAGTCGCCATACTCGGTCTCGAGAAAGGTCAGCGTTTCATATGACGCGTCACATTGCGCGGGACCATGCGTCGGCACATCAGTTGTTTTTTGTTCGTTCGTTTTCATAAGCGACGAAAATTGAACGCGAAACGAAACACACCCACGCTTATTCAGGTAGCTTCGCACCAGTGTTGCCAAGCCTGTAGGAAGTACGGAGCTGCGAAGCTTCCTTTGCTTGTCTTCGGTTTTCTCTTTCTTTCCTCTTCACTTTTCTTTATTCTTCTCTTTTCCATTTTTTTTTTCTGTTTTCGTTCTCCTCAATTATAACCATCGATATATTTTTCTTCCTATTTTTTTTTCCTTTTTGTATTTCTATTCCTCGCTTGCTACTTTTTTTTTTCGTTTTTATACGTGGTTTTGCATGGCATCTGAAGTGCTCCGTACATAATACTATCATCAAGGTGCTGGAAGAACAAGAGGAGCGGTTTTCTTTAGCGCAAGCACGGGCTTAGAGTTACTGTATATGCTAAGGTAGCATATACAGTAACTCTACGCTTATTATGTCTGCCTGCGCTACGCCAAGTGACCAAGCAACCGATCGGCAGACGACATCGACCCCTAAAAACGCGGTCAGGTCGACTTTCTCGTTACTTCGCACACCTGCAAAGAAGGTTAAGCGTTTAATTACACACTCTGAAGAGACGGACCGAAAACTGATAGGCGGGAAAGGGTCTTTGACGACGCGCGATTCGTGGTATAGGACATTTAGAAAAGAAGAAAAAATGTGCTATTGACACACGACAGCGTAAAAGCGGCAGGGCACGCCGAAGGCGGCTGGGAGAGTCACAGGGGGGAGAGAGAAAACGCTAAATAATGAATCGAGCACAGTTCGTTCCTACGGCTGAGTTGCGCGTACTTCCAGATTTGGTACCGGTATTGGGGTCAAGCCTATAGCTGCGGACAGCGCAGCTCATAGATTTCGCCAATCGTATCCCGTCGCAAAACTTAGATCTAGCCAAGCGCTTCAAGTAGCACCGAAAACACACGCAGAACTTGCACAACAAACTTTCCCTTACAATTTGTAGCGCCATCTAGCGATGTAAAGTACAGACAATTATTTGTGTTTTAGCAATTGAACAACGTGATAAAACTAGTTTTTGGTTTGTATAGGCGGCGCGTACATTAGTTCGTGTTTTGTTGTGAGGTGCAATTTAATGGAATCGTTTACATGAGTTACTCACTATCATGGCATTCGCAGAAGCAGCCGTGCTTTCATCGAGAATCCAGTGGCTGCTTTTAGCGACTTCGCGACTGTCAGTCTGGAAACACTGGACTTGGTCACGTGATGGTAGTTTTTTTTTTTTTTGCAACTTCCGCCAGCAGGGGCCGCTGCCTGCCGCGCCTCCTCCTCGTTTTGTGGAGGTGCGTGCATTTTGTGTGTGTGTGAGCGCGCAGGGCGAGTGCGCGTTGGTGGTGCGGGCGCGTTTTTCTTTTGGTGCGTTTATTTTTCTGCATCTCTCTTTTGCTGCTTCTCGTTCTACGCGTACCTGCCTGCATACCGATGCTCCGGAGCGCGGCGTCGCCCGTCGCGAAAATGCAGCAGCCGACGTTGCCGCTGCGTAATTGCTAAAAGTTTTCGTGTGTCAGGCAGCAGCGACAACTTGGTCGTCGATTCGCCTTCGTTTCCAGCAACGGCGTCTCGTCCGGCCGAGTCGACCTCGCCGAGCGGATTGTCCGACATCGCAAGGGGCCTCTCGGTGCGAGCCCAGTTTCCGCGTGTGCGTGCTGCTGTGCCGTTCGGTTTCTCGACCGTCGTTGACATCACCCTGTTGTAGAAGCTAATCGTGCCCAGCGGACTGCTAAAAGGAGTACCAGCCTCGTTCTCAAGTGTGCGCCCAGACATCGCCGTTCGCCGATGCACCTGTCCGGCGAGCCGACATTGTGTGCTATCATCGCCCGAAGAATTCCCGGCCTAGGCTGGCTCTAGGCAAGCGACGCACCACAGGTGGGTTGGTATCGCGAGGCTCGTTGTTCAGAAACCGCGTTCATCCGTGCAGCGGACGCGCTTGACTTGGCGGCGGTTGTCTCGGGGTTCTTGTTATGTGTTTGTCCGGTGACAGTGCAGGTTGTAGGAGGATCGAGTGTCGCGCATTGCCCTGACGGCGATCTGTCCTGATTTCTCTCTCGGTGAAAGCCACGTCTCGCCCGTTCGTTTTGTAACGTGCTGGCGGCGGCCCCCACACGAGTGCGCCATGTACGGAGTAAGGGGGAGGGGGGGGGGCATACCCCGCCAACCCGTCCGCGTTGTGTGCCTACGATCGCGTAGCTCCTACCTGGCTAGCAGTTGCCGTGGGGGCGGCGCGCCCGCCGCCTTCTTTGCTTCCGCCACCTCCGATTTTTTTCCCCCTAGCTTGTTTCTGGCACTCTGTGAAGATTGTGCGCCGCTACTTCGGGGAGGAAACGCATCCATTCCTTTTCATCTCACCGTCTGTCATACCTTTCCTCCGCGCGTGTGTGTGCCAGAGACAGCGCTGACGACATCGGGAAAGCACTCGTCCGAGTCGGATTTTCGTACTTTGGTAAGAAGCGCCCTGCATCGCGCTCCTGGGATACGATGATACTGGTACGATGTGGCGTTTGAACAACCACGCAGAAGAGTCGGCCAGCGGTTGCCTACTTGCTTCTGCAGGCGCGCCAGAGCCTCATTTTTTTTTTTTTTTTCATTCGCAAGAACAGCTGTTTGTCTTCGGACGGCCCGTCTGTCTCGAGCGATTGGTCGGCGGCAGTCCGTCTTACTAAGCTTCCTCAGCACGAATTGCGAATTTGACCCCCGGTTCGGCGCTTCGGCTCAGCTCGTTTCATCTTGCGGTTGGAACTTGCTCGAAGAACTGGAATCGTGCGATGGCGAACAGAATTCGCGCGCGAATAGCATTGGGAAAAAAGAAAAAAAGCTCTCTTTACGTTACTTACGGATGGGGAAACAGCAACTATAATAAAATCGCGTAACGCACTGCTTCGCCCGGCTTTTCGGGATTTTTTTTTTTTTTTTCACAGGGTGTTTCGGTTTGCCCAGCCAGATACGAGCAGTTCATCGATCATGGCTGGCTGCCTAAGCTGACACACATTTGAGCCGAGGAGAAAGGAAAGGTGTCACGACTGCCGATTCTCGCTGACGACGACGACGCCGCCTTGAACAGTCGCGTTTTCTTCTGCGACACTTCCGCGTTTTCCGTTGTAACCATGCAGCCGGCGGAATTCTCCCACGTCGCTTCATTTTTTCTTTTATTTTTATTACTTTTTTTCTTAGCATACCTCGTGGGCGCGCACGATCGGGCGATTCCCCCGAATAATTTCACCCTCTTCATCGCGACAGCCGTCGTGCGCCCGTCCGTTGGCAACCATCACACGCATCGGCACTAAAGTGTTCTTGATAAAAAAACACTTTAAAACACTTTATCGTAGCTGCACGTGGAGCAGTAGACGGCGGCACGCGGTGAGCTCAATGAAGTTGGCTGTTCGTATCCCTTAGAAGTGATGCTATAAGATATAACGATTGCGCAGTAGTATACGGGACACTACAGAAAAAAAAAGCGACTTTGCTCGCATTAGTAAATTCCTCTTTCGCGATACCGAAGACACCGCTCTTTCGAGAAAACGTGCGAAAACAAAATGTAGGTGGCGACACTGCCTTGAATTTCCCGCACCAGTCCACTATGACGTCATATTTTCACATCGTCTAAAGGCCCTACGTAGATCCTAACCGGCACGAAGCACGCGGTGTTCCGAGTAAGCGAGAGACTTGACCGTACAAGTTTCTGGAAATTTCGTTGAGGCAATGTGACGAAAATAAGACGACGCGATTTGAAACCCGTGACGTGATAACGGAGGTTTTGGCGGGACATTTAAAAGTGAAACCTTTGACGTTGATTTTCTTATGTACTAACCTACGGTGATGGAGTTAACGACACCACAGTTTTCATAGCATAGTTTATGACTCAAAAATAATTTATTGTTTTGCTTTAGTGCCCCTTCAACGATGAGCTTGGGGGTAACGTAGGAATTGTACTGGTTTTACATCCCAAAACCATAATATGATTATTAGAGATCCCGTAGTGGAGGGCGCCGGAAATATTGACCATATAGTGTTCTTTAACGTGTGGTACATGTGTACCTAAAACACACAGACCTCTCGCATATTGCCTCCATCGAAAAAGCGGCCGGGATTGGATCCCGCGACTTTATGGTCAAAACTCGAGCACCGTGGCAGTTGTCTTACTTCGGCAAGCGCACTCGCGAGTCCAATCACTCTGACTGGGAACGGGCCCTGATACTGGGTTCAATGGAGTCCGTTTAGGAAAACTGCTAGCGAGTCCGAATGAGTCGTAAGCGCAAAATATACTTGTTGGGTGAATCTGGTTAGCTTTTTTGTTTTTTTTTTTCAACTCATGGTACCGGCCGTAGCCAGGATTTTTTTTTTTTTTCAGGGGGAAACACTTTAAAACGGCTACTTCCATTATTTTCGGTAAAACATGAAAATTCTTGGGGGGGGGGGGGGTGCGGCTTCGGGAACCCCCTCTTGCTACAGGCCTGGTACCCGTTTGAGCGTGGGGGGTGACGAGCGGACGTCACATGTGTCGATCGACGCATCCTCGCAAACCGTGCGACCGCCTCGCAAGGAGGCACGTCGAGCCTACGTAGCCCGAAGAGCAAACGAGGTTGCATTCTTGTACCGGGGCCAAAAAAACGCCTCGGCGGCACAAATGTTTCCTGGTACGAGCGTGCCCCGATCGAGAACGCCGCCGAAACGCGATTGCGCGAGAGTTGAGCGATTCCTACGCGAAAAAATCTTCCGTGCGTCAGAAAGCGGGGACCTCGAGCGTTTTATTCATAATTTTGTTTTTCGCGGGCAGTTCATTCACGAGGCACTAATTTTTTCTTACTTTCGAGAGCCTCGAAGAGGGGCAGTGAACGTGGCAAAAACATGGCTACTGCGCGCGCGTGGGAGGAAAACCTCTCCGGTCGTCTGTGCAGTGTTTAGGTACGCGCTTCGTTGAACGCGGTCTCTAGTGCATGAAGTACTAGCGCGTAACATAAACGGAGGTTTAGGAAGACAAACGAATGAGTCACACGGCCGTACTTCAACTATCGTGAATGATCAACTCGCCCAGTCAGCCATTTCGACTAGTATAGTATCTAAACTGGCGAAGAGGTACTGAATGGTTGATCGTTAGAACATTCTTGCGTAACTACAGCACAAAAGATCGAGCAAGGGAAAGACAAGCACTTAAAAAGACGGATCCACGCTTGTCCGGTCTGTACCTTGAGTATTGTTAATTAAAGGAGCACTGACTGACATTAATTTTATAAAAAGAAGTCGTGTTTTTGTTCAAAACAAAGACGCTGGTGTGAGCTCTGAAAAGGGTGTCGCGGGGCCTCGGATCGCACTGAATATACTTTCGGTTTCGATATCGTGTCAACACGTTCAAGTGGGAACAGCAACAGGTGGCAGCAGCTCTGCAGGTCCCACGTGGTGCACGTAAACAGTGATTTAGGCAGTCTACACCACGTAGTGTTTGCAAACTTGGCAATCTGCGTTGTTTCGCCCACGCGGCGACGCTTGGTTTGACGGTGCTGCGCCACTCGGAGGGTCACCAAAGAGTAAAACTATTTCGTGCTTCTTATCAAATTACACTTTCACAATATTGAAAACACTACCTTTAGCGCAATAAAACGTTTCGTAAGCGAGAAAACACTCATAAAAACGGGTGGGGACGACAACATTCCCGCACCAGGGCCGTGACGACACAGATTTCGATGGCATCTATAAACTCAGGCACTACGTGATACGTAGTTCCTGATCGGTAAAAATGAAGTACATTGTTCTCTGAGAGGGCCGTAGACTTAGAATACCGAGTTTCGAAAACTTTGTTGAGTCTATTTTGCAAAATAAAAAAAAAATACACTTTGAAATCCGTTGCATCATGTCGGAGATTTCGCGCGAGATTTAAAGATGAAACTTCGAACTAGATTTTCTCCTCTATTAACGATCATTATGCTGGAACATGTCACGGTGAAACTAACGACATTAAAGTTTGCAGAGTGAAAATAATCAATCTAAACCAATTTATTGTTTGATTTTAGTGTCCCTTTCAAATCGAACTAAAATAGTATTTTTGTACGTGTATCTTGATTCCGGTGTGTAGATGGCATGCCAAGTAAACGAAAGAAAACAAATTGTCCCTTTTTTTTTCCGATGCCTGAAATTCAAGCTGTTAACTTCCACAACATGATCCTGTCAATGTACTACGTCCTTCGAGGCTTCGAACACCTTTGCCGTATCAATCTTGTCGTGGGAAGATCGTTCGTGACCGTGGGCTGGCAATGGCCGTTTATTACATTCCTCGGGCGCGCCACGCTTATCTCTCTTGGCTCACTCCTCTACTGCAAGAAGCGACTGCTGGCATTCAGATAGCACCTTCTCCTCAAACCCTTTTACGACACCCACTGACGCACCTTGGAGGTGAGTCGAGGTGCTTGGGAATGCACGGCCCTGATACGAGCCTAGATTCAGCGATGCTCCGTGCAGGGAATTTTTCCTTTTTCGGGGAATTTTCGCCCTTAATTTTGAGCCAAAGTGAGAAAAGAGAATCTTCGTGATATTGCAGGGAACTTCAGGAATGGTTCAATTATCCTGTAATGACCGATAATTAGCGGTAACAGTGCGCCTTCATCTGCTGTAATCGGTTCTGAAGCATGCACCACACAAGCATGGTCATTAAGATTTGTTTTTTTTTTAATATTTACGCGGAGCTATTTCTAGTTCACTACTGGTGTTAGACTTGAAACCCACAATGTGCAGTGTACTAACAGTACATGAATTAATAAAGTATAAAGCTCTTGTTGTGTGGCCGTGGAGGGGCTAGTCACGATTTAAAAAGTCGCCATACGTGAGACGCGTGTGATTATAGTATGTGTACGCGTGGATGGGGGGCGGAAATCAACTAC